GTGAGACTTGATCGACCCCTTCGAAATCCATGCTGATGTAAACTGAGCAAGGTGTTTTCTTCGAGGTGCTGCATCAGCTCCGTTTTTATTTTTTTCCATCAGCTTGCAACAGATGCTTATGAGACTCACTGATCTGAAACTATTTGGGGCTGTTCTCTCGCCACCTTTATATATGGGGCTTATATTTGCTTTCTTCCTGTCGGTAGGCAAAGCCCCGGTCTATATCGAATTTCTGAAGATCCTGGATAACGGAAAGGCCAGATGGTCTAAGAGTTCATTCAGGACTTTTAGATAGATAATTTTTTTAATAAAGACCCGTCGGGGTCCCATCAAAGCCGTCCGGACCAGGGGATTTATTGGGCTGTAGTTGCCTCAGAGTTTTCCTTACCGTGTCTGTTGTGAAGTCCACCGTGCTAATTGTACTGTCTGTTTTGACAATTGGGGGGTAAACTCTTTCATCAAAAGCCGGCTCCTCGGTATACACAGACGTGAAGAAGTCGGACAACAGATTCGCCTTATCTGAGTTGTCAGACAGCGTATTGCTCTGGCGATCTTTTAGGCACGGAATGCAGTGTCGGTTGCGTTTTGCCTTATTCACGTATCCAAAGAATTTTTTTAAATTTTGCGGGATATTTTTTAAAAGTTTTGACTCAAATTGTGCCTGTTCCCTCCTCAGCAGATTCCGACACACATTCCTCTGTTTTTTGAAGTCAGCGAAATGCTCTGGTTGCTGACCACTGGTGTACTTTTTCCAAAGTCTCCTTTTCAATTTAAGGTTCTTCTTTATTTCTGACGTTACCCACTCTGGTCGAGAAGTGCGCAGCTTCTTCTTAAGTGGGCAACAGCTCTCTACCAAGTGTTGCATTATGTTCTTGAAGAAGAGCCAATCGCTTTCTGGGTCAGGTCCTTGTGCTGCATTCCAGTTCGCCTTCTGAAGCAGGTTTTTCATTCGGGTATAATCCCCTTTCCATACATTTCTTTCCTCAGCAGCTCGAATTTCGGGTACAGAAAGATGACTATACTCCCAAACAAGAACGCAGTGGTCACTTCGGCCAAGGGGCGTGTGCGATTCCAATCCGAGAATGCAACTATCATCCCTGGTGATTATGAGGTCCAAACAACTGGACTGCTGTCCATCTCTGAATCGAGTGTCCATTTTAACATGTTTGGTAAGGAACTCAGTTGTGATCAGTTGCATAAATTTCTGTTCGAAGGAGTTTTCTGATCGCGAGCAATGCATCAAATCCCAATCTATGCCTGGACAGTTGAAGTCACCAAGTAGCATTATGTGTTTGCTTCGACAAATTTCTTTTATCTCGGTGATAAGTGCATCGTCCGCATCCGTCCGCTGGCTTGGCGGTCTGTAAACCAGGGCCATATGGAGGCTTGGATGTTTTGACAACTTCAAGTAACAACTGAGTATTTCACAATCAATGTATCGAAATGGGGAAGACTCAACCCTGACGTAGTCGATGACATCTCGTATAAATATCGCAATCCTCCCACCCCTTCGTTCGTTTCGATCCATTCGGAGAATCTGGAGACCATCTAACATAACTTCCGCATCTTCTACCTGCGCACTTAACCATGTTTCTGTTAAAGCTATCAAGTCGGGTTTGAAATGGACCACAGTTAGTTTTATTTCATCCAATTTGTTGAATAAACTCTACACATTTGTGTACATCATTTTTATGTTATTCGGCTGTTTAGATCTCTGGAGATTATTTGCTGGTGCTTTTGACTGATAGTTCTTACTGCATATTTCACCTGGCGTACCAAGTCCACTTGTCGATTTAGAATTTACTGGAGTTTGTCAGAACCGAGCGCCGGTGCTTTTACCGTCAGAGTCACCGGATGATTCCACAAGAAAGAACGCTCTATTTTTACAATTTGGTTGCTTGCTATTTTCAGATTCATTTCGCTCTCGCTCTGACGTTTTCTCAGTTCCCCTACCAGCGTCCTCATTTTTATTCTCTCGATTGGGTGATAGTTCGGCTGAAAAACATTCCACGATGGTTGTTTCGAAGTCTGGAGTTTCGCGACATGATGAGATTTACCTGCTGTTCGTTTCCCAATACGACTTTTAATGGTCTCGGCCACACTTTTTCTGCGTTGTTTCTTACTAAAGGTCCCAAACGGAAGATCTTTTGGATTTCGACGACCTCACCTGGTTATTGCGTGCCATTGAGTAGGTTTTGGAATGTTAGCAGATCGTGTTTCACCCTCTCTTTCGGGGTGTCACCAGGTGCTTCAGGAACTCCTTGCACTACCACACAAAGTGATCTCTTGGGAAAAAAATTGGTGGTTGTATCCTGCCCTCTTTTGTTGGCGGTAGATTTAGTCTCTGACTCTGGGACTGCCTTTATGGCTGTATCCAGATCAGTTGATAAGTTGCTCGCGTCCTTGATATATGCTGTAACGTCTTTATTTGGCTGCCTCACCTGACTTTTTGTATTATAGCTTGATACAAATGTGAAGAGCAAGCTGCCAGCGCTCTTTGTTGACGTACGTATGTCCATACGAGTACTTTCTACAAGTTTTTTGGGTTGTCGATCGTTGTTTTGTTTCGGTGCAGACAGACTCTGCATGATCCAGATTTGTCAAATCTCTGGAAATGCGAGAACCAGTTTCATCTCTGCCTGTCTTATTTTTATTGCCGTCCATTTCGGTTGAGCTCGGACGCCTTTTTGCTTCTCCTATCATTGTTATCCTTTTCATTCGGCCGAGGGGAGAGTAGTTTTGCTAAAAAAAAACACTTCACGATTGTTGTTTCTTAGCCTGCATTTTTGAGACAAAATTAAATCTGGCTGCTGTTTGCATCCCATGAAGACTTCCAATTGTCTTTGTTGTTTCTCTACTGCGCTGCCTCTAACTACAGGCGCTAAACGGAGAACCTCTTGTATTTCAACCCCTCACCGGGTTCTTCATTGTCATTTAGTAAATTTTGGAATGTCGGAAGGGCCTGCTTGACTATCTCATTTGGAATTTTGCCAGTAGACTTAGGGACTCCCAAGACCAACATACAAAGGGCTCTTTTGGTGGAAAATCTTCTCTTCATCCTGTTTTCTTTTCTTGATGGTAGGTTGACACACAGGCTTTGGTTCTACATTCACTACTGCCCTCAAATTGGTCTTAAATGGTGAGATTAGTGCTTGATTCTCAACCGTCGATTTGGATCTTTCAATCGTAGTTACTTCTTCTGACACCACCCGTTCGACTAGCCTCCGGCAAGCGTGGTTTTAAGCTAAGTTGTGCACTTCCGTGATGAACGTCTTCTCGTCTTTTCTTTGCGGAATCACAGGACTTGTTGCATTACAGCCCGACAGACATTCATAAACCGATCTACTAGCGCTCTCTCGTGGTGTAGGTGAATCAACACGACCACTGTCTACTGTTTTTATGAAATTGTCGATTGCTGCTTTATGTCGGTGGAGACGGACTGGTCAAACGGACTGGGAAATGCAACAACCAGTTTCATCTCAGTCTGTTTTATTTTTGTTCCCCTCTATTTCGATTAAGTCGGAAGACTTGTCTAACAACTTCGGCCATTTTCTCTTTTTTCGCTCAGCATGGCATCCATTGATGTTTAAGGTTTCTTGAGATTTCTGTGGTCCAGCCCATTGATATTTTTAATGTCTTTTGCATCATGTTCTGGGGTTTTGTTTTGTTTTGTTCGAGGATTAATGCTATTATTTCTGTCGAGAAATCGACGTCCACTTCCAATTTCAAAACTTTTGTAGTGAATTCTCGGCATCCGTTACAGGGTGTCAAAATTTTATTATTTAACTTATTTGTGGTCGGTTTCAGCAGTGAGCCTCTTTCTCCAGGATTGATGTTCTGTGGCCCATCGCACCCAACTGAAAGCGAGTTAGGTATTTCCGGTAAATTTTTATAATAGGGAATAGAAAACGGTTTACAAATGAGGGAGAGATAACTTTTTCTGATTATATACTATTTCTTGTCAGCCGGCTATCTGAGCGTGGCCCAGTGGTTAGGGGTGTCGGTTCTCGTTTGAGAGGCCCCTGGTTGACATTCCTCTCTCTCTGCGGCCAGCATCCGTCACACATAGTATGGTTGTGGGCATTTGTATTACCCATGTTAACAAGATCTCTTCCGGAGTGGATTAATTTATAATGTGCGGCTTAAAATGATAAATGACTAGTTTACTAAGCACAAGGCAGTTTTCCCAGGCGAAATTCAGTATTAAATGTCAACTTGAGGCAAGGAGCGACTTAGCCTTCGCATACAACTTGTGAATATACTTCGTTTTTTGCTGGTTTCCGATCACTTTGCTGACGGAAGACTGGGTTCGGAAGCATGTTTGAGTCGGGCTTTGCAGGTATCTGAACGAATTGAAGTCGCCAGGACCAGACATGATTCCACCCAAGCTTCTCAAGGAACTTGCCAGTGAGCTTTCTGTGCGTTTTTCGATGCTCTTTCAAACGTTCTTTGACACTGAAACACTTCCTATCGATTGAAGGCTGGCGCATATTACTCCGCTCTACAACGGAGGTAGCAGGGAATCGACGACAAATTACAGGCACATACGGTTGACATGTATTCTCCGCAAAGTTATGGAAAGGATCATAAATAGTGAACTGATGCATGTCCTGGAAGTTCGCGACCTGCTATCGAAATGCCAACATAGTTTCCGGAAAGAAAGATACTGCACGACAAATTTGCTGCAATCTCTCGAGAGCTGGACCCGAGATCTCGACGACGGGCACGCGGTCCACATAGCCTTCATCGATCTGCAGAAGGCGTTCGACACTGTGCCACCCCAGAGGCTGTTGCATAAAATAAAAATAGGGATCGGTGACAACTTCCTTAAATGTATCGAAAACTTCCTTTTGGGCCGACACCAGGTTGTGTGCATCGGTCAAGGGAAATCAGATCCCGCTGTGATCGAGATTGGTGTCCCCCAGGCTTCAGTATTGGGACCCATTTTGTTCCTTTTATACGTGGACGATGCCGCAAGAGCTTTAGACTGCGAAGTAGCAATGTCTGCCGATGACATGATGATATGGAGTGTAATTTGGGGTCCTGCCGACGAAGACAGACTACAGGTGAACCTAAAGCGGTTGCAGGAGTGGTCAGACCGTTGGCTCCTGCGGTTCATGGTTGGTAAATGTAGCACAGTTCGCCTAGGCAACACAGCCAGATCCGCCAGCACAAGAGACTGCTTTCTGGGCGGTGCAGCCCTGCAAGAGGTCGAAGCCCAAAAGGGCCTCGGTGTGCATACGACGAACTCTCCAAAACCATCCGTCGATTGTTCGGGAGTGGCAAAAAGCTCAATGTCCGTACCTTACGCCATCAAGCGTGCGTTTATAGACTTCGACGAAGACGCTTTCTCAAAGACATTCGGTACATTCGTCCAGCCGCATTTGGAGTACGGCATACAAGCCTGGAGACCGTTGGCAGTTGAGGATCAAAACTACCCCGAAGTAGTTCAGAGTAGAGCCACGAAGATGGTTAAAGGTCAAAGCCCCTTTCCTTATGCAACCCGCCTCGCAAATCTGAACCCCTTTCCTTTGAGTTACAGGACACTTCGCGGGGATCTCTTGCAAGCATTTCGCATTGTAAAGGGGTTGGATTGCGGCCTGGCCTTCGAGGACTTTTGAATTTGCTACCACGGCCAACCTCCGAGGTCACCCATTTAAACTGCGCACTCAACAGGCAAGGCTGGATGTGCGGAAGTTCTCCTTCTCTGTTCGCGTGGTCAAACCATGGAATGCCCTTCCCGCAGATGTTATGATGTCACCATCTATACAAAGTTTTAAAAAGAACATGGACATATTTATGTTCCGAACTGACCAAGAGCAATGAGAAGTCGACCTCATCCCCTGTAACTCGTTTCCATTTTGTCTTACAATTATAAGCTCGTTTGATCTATTTCAGCCCAGAACATTTTTTGTATACCACACATTTTTACGTTGCAAATACGGTACTCAAATGTTTGCGTCTATTTTCCTCAGTAAACTGAACTGAACTGAACTAAAAATGGAGGTTCGATGTTACACATTAACTGGCACTTCGACAGTCGATAGTTTAACAGGAGCGCACTCGCGACTACAAAATCAAAGCCGTAAGAGTGAGGACAAAAGTTGAAAAAGGAAGCTCCTCACGCAACTTTTTCGGATGGTGATGCCAAATGGGTGTGCCTTGTCGTAGCTACGTTAAACAGTCACGTCTATCTTCGTCATATTCACATCAGGCCACAGTGACAAGACGTTACCAGAAGTAACTAATGCTAACAGTGATATAATCAAGAAACTTGTAAGTTTATACAATCAGTGCATCAGACTGCACCGAATGTAAACTGAAAAATTTAATTTCAATAGAGCTCACAGGATATTCTCGTCAATATGCGTAAAAGACGGGGTCCACACATTCACACAATATAAAATTCATTCACTGTGCGGAGCGCACAATGCACTTGGGTTTATAAACTGATCGATCGCAACATTTTTCCCCCAACTCCAACCAATCTCAAAATCTAAATGTAACTCTAAACCCAAGGGTTACCCCAATCCTAAAAATTGAGAGCTACTTATGTCTAACTCAAACCTAAAACGAACGATGGGGTGCCCATAGCCATCTTTGCAGCACCAAGCTTTTCTCATACAACCTCAAAACAGATGAATGAAACCTAGTAACCAAAAATTGAAGAAGTCAATCAAAAGAAAGCAGAGTTCAGAAGGAAGAGACAAGGTTCGGTGAATGAAAGGGACGTTGTAGATGGAAAATACACGCATATTATTGCAATATCTAGCTCGTTACCGTCAATACCTACTGTCACGTATCCATTTCTTAGCACGGCAGTTCAACTAAGCGACGCATGTCATTACTGACATATGCTACTAACTTCAATATCTCTCGTTAGCGATGAGTATTTTAACGAAGACAAGGGGAGAGAATATGAGTTGGCTAGTTGGATTCAGTTCCCAGGGCTCAAACTGTTTGAATTTGATGGAATAGGTCACTCCCCGTCCTTGTCTCTCAGCTGGTACGTATTTGTGCCTTTGCGGTTGCTGTTATATCGACAAAGGCACTCGTAATTTTGTAAAATATTTACACCTTTGTTTTGGGTTGTTGCACTCATTTTGAATTCACTTTACGATTGACCTTTCCCAGTGCTGTGCACACTTTTCGTTCACCATTCTAGTACTTGTGATAAGTCATCACTGCGATTTTATGAACACCATGGCCATCATTTTGCCGTGTTGTAATTATTGTACGCAGGGCTCTCGGTCGTCTTTTGTTTCGTTTTTCAATACGGTCAGAACTCCATAGTCCGTTGTCAACTTCAGTTCAATTGTGAATTTATCAGCTTTCTGTTTTGTCCCTTCGTCTGACATTTCTTTAGGTCTCTTAGATGATTAAATACTTCACTTGAATGCAATGCCCTCGCGTGTCCTTGGTGAAGGGAAACCTACATAGCCCTGAGTCTGTAGACTTCGGCTCGGACTTGCAGACCCAGAGGTGTCTATTTGGTTTCTGAGACATTTGGGGGGAAATCTCGGTCGGGACGAAGTGGGCGATCATTTTATAGGCCTGAGTCTGTAGACTTCGGCTCGGACTTGCAGACCCAGAGGTGTCTTTTTGGTTTCTGAGACACTTGGGGGGAAATCTCGGTCGGGACGAAGTGGGCGATCAAATGCTAGAAACCGACAACACATGCTGTTAATGCCTACTGACTTGAAATAGCGCACTTACCGTAGTATTCTAAGAAAGATTTTGCTAAATCTGCTCCACTTACAAATACCACTATGTACTTCGGATGTTATTTAACTGCGCTGCGCACATTGCTAGTTGGCGCCTGATTCGGGGCTGTTTTGCCAGATTCGTGCCCTATACATTGTTTTGGCAGTACATTGTGAAATCGAGTTGCCCATTCTCCCCTCCCGTAAGTGACTATTTTACTTTGCTGATTTTTAGCTTACAAAACGTCCTCTGTATCTTTCAAAATAAGCTGTCAAAATTCTGGACAAGGTTGGAAGGCTCGCCAGTACTTGCATAGACTCGGCGAGCGAATCTGACGCACCATTAAATAAACCATTTCGAGCGCGTTCGCTCCGGACATCTGATACGTCTACTACGAATCAGAAATGTCAGTCTCAGTCTGCTGCTTGCTCTCAGCTGACTGCAGGTACAGAAACCATTCGTAGGGAAGTCCTCTCGTAAGTAGTTTCTCTCCCTTGGACCCTGCTGTAGAATCTTAAATAAAGTTACTGCGGAGAATTTCACCAGCTTATCTCAGCATATTCTAAATATACATGTCGAATCTCCGGAGGCCCTCGATCTCATCGTTCAATTGGTACGGCCATTGTAGTGTAATTGGTTTTAGATATTTCAAAAAGCTGCCAATGAACCGACTTTTGTTTCACTTTATGCTGAGTTCTGCCTAATTTTGTCTGAAAAGGCACGTAACTTCGAAGCCGATAGTCAACACACAGTAAGTATAATCGTCCTCCGATTTCCCAGACTTTTAAAATACGTCTGCTAAAACGCTGCGAAGATGAATTTACCAAAAAGGATAAGATCGACCCTTCGGACAGCAGCGCCAGGAGACGCTATCTCGGAGGAGTGCGCTTTATCGCGGAGCTTGGACGAATTGGTACAATACCCGAAAAGGTTCTTCACGACTGTGTCAAGACTTTATTGTCTCGAAGGTCTAGAAGTAAGCAGCTTTCGGAATCCCTTGGTCCGGCATCACTGTCTACAGTGGAGTCTGATGTCAGTAAAGGCAAGTGCGCTTTTACCCTTGCACCTCCGAGTTTATGCTTCGATGTAGCCTTTATTTCTGGCTTCGGAGAGCTAGTGTTAGTACATGCAACGGTCATTTACACTCACTCAGGTTGTGTTGTCGCCACAAGGTGCCCCTCGGGACCCAGGCCTTCAGTTTTTATTGTGTTTATTCGGATCTGCCGACCTCATCGTCGCAATACTCCACAGACTAGCTTCTGGACCAAATTTACGTTCCGCCGCGGTCGTCTGGGGCTGCAGACGCTTTGCAAGCTTTACAGGCACGCCCACTTACATATCACCAGTGACTTGAGGTTTCTCAGTCCCTGATTCTAAACCATGTAGTGAATATGGTGCTTTCGCGCTCTCAGGGATGATTCCGTCAGATCAACAGGACTCAAGTGTTGGTTTCATAATATAACCCTCCCAATGCCCATTTTCCAGCTTTTTACCGCATGGAGGTTTCGTTGCTGGTATGCTTACACGTCTGGTAGCCATAAGCTTAGTGCTCTGTGCATTCGTTAGCTGGGTGCATGCATATAAAGGTAGGACATCGGCTCACTTAACTCTCAATGGTCAAAAAAAACCCGGGTCCGAATCCCAGGCCATTCAGATCTGGGGTGGGGTATGAGCGGCTGACGGCTGCTACCAAGCCAAAGATGATTACCCCAGTCTCCATTGTTTTTGTCCATGCCCCTACACCCTCTTCTAACTATATAAATGCCCGTTACGCGTCTGCCCTCAAGGTCTCTAGGTTGAGCCTTATGACAATGGAAGGAGCATATCTCGTGACCAGATTAATGAATGGCAGTGAACATTCCGCGTCACAACCGATACAGCAACGGGCCCGTGGCTCCATCGCAAAGCGTTGAACTGCTTAGCGCTCAGTGATCAAGGGACATGCTTGACTGGCGATGGCTAGCAAGCCAGGAATAGCCATCCCAACTTCCCTTGTCTGTGTCGGTAATCTCACTCTGCATGCACCACTAATTGCCACGCGACAACCTACGTGACTCTAGGCCAAGTCTCAAAGCACAACGGGACGTGTAGGCCCCGTAACGCAATCGGCAAGCGCTACCCTACCGCTCCGCCATTAAATCATTGGCCCGTATGCCGGTCGGTTCCGATCGAATACACAGCAGTTCAACCGTCGATTCCGACGATGTCCACTGTGTGCTACACAAAACGGTGGACAGGCACGGTGGCTTGCGCCTGAATAAGTTTAGTGATGGTAGACTTGCGCAACATCTACCGCGGTGGAGTGGTTGACGTAGGCTTTGTGCAGGCGTTTCTTGTCGGCGAGCAGGTTGCTGATGACGGCGTTGTTGTCATCGAACCAGTCCCGGTGTTGGCGACGTGCGTGACCGAGGACAGACAGGGTCGTCGACTGGATTGTTTCCCGGAGTTGGCACCATCGGTTCCCACCGGAGGCGTTCTCGATGGCGGCGTCGACTGGAAGGTTGGCTAGTCGCTGAGCTAGCTCATTGCTGAAGTAGAGATGGTCAGCAGGCTAAGACAACAAAGTAATATTCAGCTTACATGGGGCTCGCTTACCCTGACGTCGCCGCGAGACTGGAGGTGACGAGGCGATGGTCGGTCCACCCGTCGGCCGTCGGAATCTCCTTTGTCGCCAGCACTTCTGGCTGGTCTCGCCTCCAGCCGAGGAAAAAGTCCAGCACGTGCCAGTGTCGCGAATGAGGGTGCATCCAGGTGGCCTTCTTTACGCATCGGGTGGTGGAAGAAGCCGTTGGTCAGGATGAGTGTGCGCATTCCTGATTGAATATATATATGCGTGTGTGTTTGTGCAGAATGGCATTACCGACAAAGACAAGGGAGACTGGAATGGCCATTTCTGGCATATTAGCCGTCGTCAGGCAATCATACGCGATCCCGAAGTGTGAAACACCTGGGACTCGATCCCACGACCTGTTGGTTTGAAGTCAAACGCCTCCTTTGGCTGCGATCGAGAATGTATAAAGGCAGAGGGACGCTCACTAATCATGCGCCTCTGTGCGGCTACTGGTTGCGCTCGAGAGAGAGCCGTGAAGCACAACGGGACGAGTGAGTCCGGTAAAAACGACCGGTTAGCGCCCCTTCACCATTGTATATTCCTGATCGCATTCGACAGGACAACGAGCCTGTGGCTCAGCGGTTAAAGGCGTTGGACTTCTAACCAACAGGTCGTAGGACTACAATGAAAGATGTCATTATTAAAGTATTGATCAACCTATAATCCTCCTACCGCTGACCGCTCTAAAGCGCAGAGTACAGCCATTGAAAAAAACACTAAAACGTCTTATAGGGAAAAAGCAAATAGCAGGAGATATTGCCAAATCTCTTCGACAAACTGAACCGACCATCGCTAAGATCTATGGACTACCTAAGGTGAAAAAGCTTGAAGGACCACTGTAACCGATAGTATCGTTAAGCGGCGCATCCAATTACTAGATTTCTAGATGGCTCTTCCACAAACTCCGTCCGTTGACAAAGGATTGTGTAGCACCACTGGATAATTCGATTGAGCTTCTAGACAAATTGCAAGGACGGAGAATCGTAGCAGATGAAATAATGCCATCCTTCGATGCCGTCCCTCTGTTTACATCCATACCACTGGATTTAGCAAGACAGTATGCAGAAGATCATCTCCAGTCTTCACGGATATTCCTGCATCTGATTTGCTAGAACTCTTAGACCTATGTCCAGAAACGAATTTTTCATTTGTAAAGGAACACTATCAACAGCTGTAGGAAGCCGCTATGAGATCACCCATCTCAGGCTTTCTTGCTGGAGTCACGATGCCAAAATTAGAGGCTATCGTTCTGCCATTAGTTAACCCTAACTTATGGGTACGCTCTGTTGATGACGCCTTTGTCATTGTTAAAAGAGATCAACTGGAAATGCTCCACAAAACCATTAACTCAACACTTCCAAGAGTTACATTCACACCCGAGAAAGAGGTTGACGGAAAACTCCTATTACGAGAGCAACCACCTATTCTCATACAAACGGAGTGCTGTGATCAGCCCCCTTAACCGAGCAAAAACTCACTGTTCTGACAACGAAATCTACCAAACAGAACTTGATTATTTGTCCAAACTGTTTCCCCAGAATGGGTATCCTGGATATTTTGTACGCCAATGCATGCGACGACAGGAGTTAAAAGAAAAAGACAAGGAACTAGATTGCTCCGATCAGGCGCCCAAACCAAAAACTGGCGAACACTTCCGTACATTAAACATGTGTCCGAACTAGTTGAAAGACATCTGAGGAAGCACCAAATACATGTGACGCACAAACCGACGACTACACTTCGCAACCAGCTTGTATACCCTAAGGATAAGGTTGGCTATTTAGATAACGAGGAAGTCGTCTACAATATACCATGCAACACCTGTAATGCGGTTTACTGTGGTCAAACCGGGAAATCGGCCCTTACACGAATGCACGAACACCAGTTGGCCGTAAAAAGGCGAGATCACTTGTTCCAATTCGCCATGCATACGTTGGAAACTGGACATAAATTCGCCTAAGACAGGACTCACATTGTATGTGTCTGCTCATTTGAGAAGGGCCGTGAGTTTTTAGAGGCCATCCATTCTGATAGCGCATGCATCAACCGACACGTATAATTGGGTGCGGTGCACAACAGCTTCAAGGAAAAGTCGAAAAGGCATTGGCCAATCAGAACACTACGCCAGCAGGAATGCCAGGGCAAAATCGACTTTTTAGACATGTCTAAATGTTAACTGTTTTGAACACTTACTTCACGTCTGAGGGCGACTTGGGGAACCAAAGTCGAAAATTTACAATAAAACTTGTTTATTCTTCGCAAAGAGCTTATTTCTTCCGAATTATGATTCTTAGGATGCCGATTTTCAAATTCATACGTACGCAGATGCATGAAAGAGCA